GCAAAAGTCAACTGTAATGTAAAGAATGTGCAGCTTGAACATCCCACAGACTTTTAAATCTAAGAAAAAACCAATTGCAAAAGTCAACTGTAATGCAAAGAATGTGCAGCTTGTACAATACCAATCTTTTCGAATCACACAGACTTTTGAATGGTATCTGTGAATAGCTGACTTATAAACGAAGCTAAGCCTGTGCAAATGAGTCTGTAGTCTTCAAGAACAGTAAAAGCATCGAATGTGAAACTGGTGTATTGAGCTGCTTAGACGTCACATTCAAGGGGTTCATTGCTTAAATATAAAATATTTTGAATAAGTATACCGATCATATTTTATGATCCTTTATTTTGATAGGAAAGGGAGTGTATGCTGTGTTATATTATGGAGGCCACGGTTATGAAGACGGTGGAGAGAACTTCCTTGTTCCAGTGGACGCTAACTTGTTATATAAAAGAGAGGACAGCCTGTGCGCACAGGAGATACTTCAGACGATGCAAGAATGCGAAACAGCGTTAAACTTGCTTATCATCGATTCTTGTCGGATAAGGTTAGGCCTTGGGGGATTTTACAGATTTACAAATTTTATTTTATTTATTTGGAGTTTTGCAATATTGTACATCGACTTTAGTCCAAATAGACTGAACTACATCGATTATGAAATTATAATATTAAATCTCAAATCTAGCTTTGAGGTTTGATTATTGGAGAGCACGGGTGTGCATGGGGAGGGGGGCTGGGCGAGGCTGCTTATTTTTATGGTCATGAGTTCCATTAAGCCCTTGCTAAACGAGGAAACAAGTTTCCAGAAACATGTTTCCCGCGCGCATGTTCCCCGATGATTCCAAGTTTAGCCACATGCGAAACCTTGCTGTGTTCAACAAGTTTTGCTTCCAAGACGCAAAAATGTTTCTGCTGTGCGGCAGAAACATTTCATGCTTCCAAGACGCATGGAAACAATGTTTCCCTATGTTTCCTCATTTAGCCACGAAAGTCAACATTATAAAAGTTTGTTACTTAGCAACGCTAGCTCTATCTTGAAAGTGCGCATGCGCTAACCGATATTGAGTAAACATGTTTCCCGATGTTCCCTGACAGTTTTGCCACCTTTGGAAACACTTAGAAAACATGTTTCTGGAAACATGTTTCCTCGTTAGCCAGGGCCTTATGGTCGAACAATGCATTATGTGCCTAGATTCAGAATCGCCTTGGGGGTTCCTTTGCTAATGTGCTGACTCTAGCCACTGTGGTCATGCATTCAATACAAGGACCCAGATGCTTTGTGTGCGTAGATTCATAATCGCCTTGTCCCAGGGGGGTTGCTTTACTACTGTGTTGCCTCTCACCTCTGTGGTCATACTTCAACACAAGATCCTGAAGCATTGTGCGCCTAGATTCCTCGTCCTCTAAAGTTGAAGTCGACACGACTTATTTTCTTTCTTTCTTTAGGCTTCCCGATAGAGGACAACGCCCTACTTTCGTCAAGCGAGGAGCAAAAGGGAATAACATCTTCGCTTACTCATGGTAAGGAACCACGCCTCAGGGAATAGAGCGTTTTTTCACTCACGACGTGACAAGGCAGCCATATGGTGTACCAAACACTAGAAACTTTCTGCACAGTATTTACATAAAAATAGAGTTCAATTCCCGGAGGATAGAACATGTATTGTTTTGGTACACCAACATGGCCGCTGTGACGTCACGTGAAAACGCTCTATAGGCCTCTTGTATGGACGTAATATTTCCCCATTTCACATCTCATTTCAATCCCTTGAGTATCATTCTTTGTTTAACGGTTGAACACGAGAAGACACAGATGGATATGGATAATACTCAAAAAAAAAGTCTTATTCTCAATAGAATGACACATGGTTTGAAATGGCGGGAAATCAAGGCCAAGGTAAAGAGGTATATGTTAAAAGACCCCTTGCAGCACGTCGGAATGCAGAGTTAATTTGGAGGACATAACAATAGGTTTCCAATTCGCATGAGATTGAAATTCTTTTGTTTTGTCCTCCAAATTGAGCTGCTTTGACGTCATATTGCAAGTGATCTATACCTCAAATATACTTTGGGCATGTCCTGCGTGGTGTATTTTTATTTAGAGCACGAAAGAAATCTGCGTGAACTAATTTGTTTGTTTACCTGGTTGATAAACAGCTGCTCACAACAGGTAGCCCACGAAGAGCATGACCAGATGAATGGATTGTACGCTCAGCATCTTTTACGGCACATCCGAAGAAATGCTAGAATAGAACATATATTGATGGATGTCGCTACAGGTATGAGCTATGTGGGTGGGTGGGTAGGTGAATGGGTGGGTGGGTGGATGAATGAATGAATGGATGGATGGGTGGGTGAATGAATGGGTGGATGAATGAATGGATGGGTGGGTGAATGAATGGGTGGATGGATGAATGGATGGATGGATGGATGAATGGGATATAAGGATGGATAGATGAATGGATGGATGGATGGATGGACGAAAAAAAGAGTGGCTTACTTGTCTAAAACTCCAGCCTTCCTCTAGTTACCTCCACCATTTCCAAACCGTGTCATTTCTTAAGTATTCTTTCTTTCTCTACACCCCAACATTGATTGATAATTATCTTATTGACCCAGATGTTTCCGTCTCGATCGACCCAAGAATCAACCAAAGACCCTGCCATGAGAGTGACGCATATTTAGACTGCAGATTAACGGATCCAATATACCCAAACGTATTGCCGCATGAGTTTTCAGAACGAGTTGCACTATGGCAGAAAGCACACAGTAAGTAATATATATATATTTAGGCACTGCCTAAAAGCGGAGCTCCCAATAGCACAGGAGGCCAATTTAGATAAAACTGAAATACTATAAACTAATTATGATTTTGAGACGACAATAACACGAAACATTGACGGCTAGTTGGGAGAAAATATATTCGGTATTGGGTGGAGTCGCGAAGCTATACCGAATATATTTTCTTCCAACGCCGTCAATATTTCGTGGTATTGTCGTCTCAAATTCGCAATCAGCTTCGTATCGCGATTCTAGAGAAATTAACACGCAAAAAAGTAAAAATACTGACCGAATTTCTTTGATTAAAAGCGAAATTCTCCTTGCGAATGTGCGCTATGGCGCAATACAAGCGTAAATTTTCACGCGCGCGCGCTAAAGCTTTCGTTTTTGTTGATCGTTAGCCAATCAGAAACCTTAATTTTGAAACGACAATACCACGAAATATTGTCGTCTCAAAAATATAAGAGACTATTTAGTGAATCGCGATACAAATGCCTACTCGTGAATTAGATCTTTGATAACGGCATTGGGAGTTGTATAGCAAGAGAGAAGTCTTTAAAAAATAGCCAAGAACCCCAAGTTTTTAGATCCTACCTTTTTTATCATAGCAAATTAACGAAAAATTAAAAATACTGTTTTTTCTATGAGAGTTTAAATTCAGAGAGCGTTTTATATATTCTCATCGAAAATAATTTTCGCCCAATCAGAGCACGCGAAAGACATCAGTTATTTTGAAAACTCTCATCTAAAGTGGTATTTCGACCAATCAGAGGGCGCGAATGAACTCAGTCATATTAAAAAACTCTCAACTTCTCTACTCACATATTTGTGTTTCATAGCTCTTCCAGAACCATTCATCGCGCTTGAGACCAAATATCTTGTGGTCGCAATGGAATTTAGAGCAAACTTCTCGAACGTAATGGAGGTGTTAATGATCACATCAAACAAAACAGACTGTCCGATGACACGGTTCGTTATGGATTTAGACGTACAATCGGTAAGTGCAGACGTCTCTTCTTCAGTGTTTGGGGGACCAAGGGTGGTTTCGCGGTAGGACACCTGCCTCTCGTTGGGGTTTCGGGGTCGACTCCTGGGCTTCATCAAATGGGTATAGAGTTTAAATTGGGTTTCCCCATCATCCGAGGTTTTTTATAATTTTTCCCCTCCATCTTATTATTATTATCAATTATTATTAATTAATAAAAATTTATTATCAATTATTTTATACACTAATAATAGCCTGTGCTATCAGATGTGATCTGTCTGTGATCATTATTATTAATTATTATTAATTAATAAAAATTTATTATCAATTATTTTATACACTAATAATAGCCTGTGCTATCAGATGTG